GAGTAATTTAATTATTATGGGGTATTTTAATTGTTTCTGGACTTTTGATTTTTAATTGTGAGCCGCCCAGAGTCTCCCGTAGGGGAGATGGGCAGCATACAAATTTAAGAATAAATAAATAAATATAAAAATATTTGGCAAGGTTTTGTTGGTGTTTGATTACCTTTTTGTAATCTGCTCTAAGTCTGGAAAAGAGCAAATGCTACAAAAAATATTTGAAAGCAATATTTGTTGTTGACTTATTCTGTTGAAATATAAAAGTAGCAGAATTGTGTATGGCACTTTCCAAAATACACCCTTTTTTCCTTTTTGTACTTTACTCTGACTGTTGTATTGAATCCAGGAGAGATCTTTCGTGTCGTTGTTGAAGGGCATATACAGTATAACATTTTCCAACTTAATTTTTTTTTTAAGTATTTCTGACAGGGAAAGCACGTTGCATTTTCCGTGATAAGTTGTGCTAATGTCAAAATACATTTGAGAACAGTTTCTTGCAGCAAATACAATGAACCCTTTTTAAGATTATTTAATAAAACTGGATTAAGACAGATTTTAAGGCCTGCTTTGTGATGTTTTCAATTTCCCTTTTCCTTTGGATAAAGCACTGTGTTTATTTTTTCTCTTTGGTTTTTAAATAAGTATGATACTAAATGAGTTTTTAAATGTTAAAAATTTACTTTTTAATCATTTTAAATTTAAAAATAAGTTTTTAAATGGTTTTTAAATGAGTGTGACAGCCAGGCCTTTGGCAAGGGGGAGTGAGACCCCTCACTTCATCACGTTTGCCATCATTTATCTTTATTTTATATGTTTTACTGGTTTTATTGTAATTTCTTTGTTTGATTGTTGTGAGCCACCCAGGGTCATTGAAAGTCAGGTGGCATACAAGTTCAATAAATTATTATTATTAAAGGAACTCTTGGGATAACTGAATTGGTTGAACGAGAAATAATTGAGCGACTCTTCCAACAGGCAGCGCAGAACAAAAAAAGCTGGTCATTGGTGGGGAAGCCTGTATGTGGGGTGAATACGTGGATGCAACAAATTTGACCCCAAGACTGTGGTAAGACCTGGATCTGCCCACCTAAGCTGCACCTTGTCTTGTGAAAGCATCAGCCCTTCAAAGTAGACCAGACTAGGAAATCAAAGTTATGAATGCCATTACTACTTTTATTATAGGGTTACAGTAACGGAATCTCGCAAAATGAATACGCCTCCCCTCTCCCTCCCTTTATCTTTAAGAAAATCAGGGAGGGACAAGTGTGAGATGTTTTCTCAGATTACTGTATATTTCTGCTTTGGATTCAAATCTCTTTTATCTGACTGTTGTGTTGGTTGTGGCTCTTCTTCCTGTTCCTCAAGGTTATTCTTACAACCCATTACAGAAAGCAAACAAGTCCAGTTGTGCAAAAGACGTGTTTCTGCAGAAATGTTAGCCCGCTCCCCCAAGCTTCATGCACTTCCTGCCCGTCAGAGGGTCTGTTCCTCTTCTGATGCCCACAGGTGTCAGCCCCAGATGGAAACATTTTCAGTGGTTCTGTATAGGAACTCAAGCATGGCTGTCTTATAGTAGATGTTGATCCCAGGACATCTGCAGAAAGGGCAGCAAACAGGGCAAAGGGGGCGGTACATTTGACATTTTCATGCAAATAATTCAGATTATCCACTAATCTGCATTCTTCGTGCAACCACACCTTGGCCCGTGGGCCATTATTTTAATGTCCTCTTGGCTTTTCCTGGTCATCAATATGCTGATCATTGACTTAGCAGTTGTACAACTGGATGTCGCAGACAACAGCATTAGTTACAGCAGAACTCTAACCTTTGTTATTGGACAGATGTTTACCTTATTTGGGGAGCCACCTGGGAAGGGTTTGTATCCTGTAAAGCAGCCTATAAATCTTCCAAATCAAACATCCCCTTTTTATCTCCTCAAGGCCCAGAGCTGGAGCTGTCGCTGAACGTTTATGGAGCAACGAGACAGTTCGAAGCCAGCAAGATGCTTATGTCCGGTTGTCAGATTTCCGGTGCACCTTGCTCAGGTAATGCCCCTCTTCCTCCTGTATTCCTCCTAGCTCTGTAGGGCCACACAGGCCATTGCAATTGATGTGATTATTCCAGCATCCCGTTGCCTGTAACTGGATACTCCTGGAAAATCCATCTTCCTTGGCTGTTGCCGTACATCAACTGTTCTCTGTTCCATGTTGCCGTTGTACCAAAGAAGCTTGCTAAACTGAGAACTTCTGATATCATCCTTGCCCAATGTGGAAATAGCTTAACTATAAAATGTTGGCTGAGAATTATGGAGATTTCAGAGCAGAGGTACATAATCTTGTCCAAGCTAAGAGCTGCAGTTAGGCTCCAGGTAGCATGCCAGGGGTCAGAGTCCAAAACATAGTGGATAGAATCAGGAGAGGAACTACCTTTTCCAGTTGCTTACATTTAAAATTAAATAAAATGAAATATAGATGACATAATTATTCTCTGGTAGTTTGGCCCTTCAGTTGCTTGAACAATGCAGTTGAGTAACACTTCTGGAAATCTCTGTGGATAAATCTGTCATTCTTTGAGAATCAGAAAATTAGAGGTGGAAGTATCTGGACAAGGTTAATTTTTGATAAAACTTCCATTTCTGGTCTTCTCCTGTGAGCTTTTAGCTTGACTGGCCTTCTAAAAAGGCGCGGGTGATTTCTTTAAAAACATTGTTATGGGCGTCTCTACTTTTTACATAGATTCAGCTGCTAAACTCTTCCCTTAAGTATGATCTTCTAACAATACATTTTGTTTCTTCTTTTTTTGCAGGCGAGGGATCCAGGCTGAACCCCTTTTTACAGGATATTGTGAATATGATGCTCTTTGATTTTGCAATCACCCCCCATCCCCATATCTGTACTATTTCCACTTGTGCAGGGAGAATAGGCTTTTTAAAAAAAACAAATATTTCAGGAAATCAATTCCCTATTATTTGGGGGCCTTTTTTTAAAGAAGCACATTTAAAACTGTGATCCAGGTCTTTTTTTATTAAAGGAACAAATCGGTTCTCCAGACAGAGAAAAAACTTTTGTTGTGGTCGTTGTTCTATGCTTGTGGTTTTCCTCTTACCCACCTCCACCCCCCCCCCCACTGCCAGAGGGGTTGTATTAAAGAATTACAAGACACAGGTCACCCTGCAGTGTCATGAGACACTTTTTCTCTGAGCTGTTTTTTCTGATCTACTTCGTATAATAATAGCAAGGTCACTTTTTTGTATGTTGGATTTTACCTAACGAAAATGACACCCAGGAGGGATGCAAACCTTGGGGTTTTCCTAAAGCTGCTGTTTGCTGAAACGCAAAGCCAAAAAAAAAAAAAACCCTCTGCAAAAGAAACCTCGGCATAGAGAAGAATCCCTAAGTAAGAACTGGATATGTTCAGTGGCCACGGAATAATGACAAGAGAGACCTTGGCAGGCTTAGAGCTTGGGGTGGGTGAACTAGAATGAAATGAGGTCCCAGGATGTTCTTTGCTCAACCCATGGCCATGATCTATTAGGTTCAGTAGAGAAGAGCATTCTTTCCACCACCCACTGTAAGTTCCTACCCCAACATAGGCCTTTTTGCAATGGGTAAGTTAGCCCCATCAACCTATAACTCCAAGCTCGGCTCCATACGATCTGGGTTACCTTATCAGCTGCTGCGATCTGGAAGAGTGATGTGTTGGCTTTGCTGGGGTTGTCCAAGGCCCACAATCCCATAAGAGGTCCTTTTCTGCTACCAAGTCCTGCCAATCTACTCCTTGTCATGAATGAAACCCTGGTTATCAGAAGTAGGAAAGGTGTCTTCCCTTGAATTTGTCTTCTCCTTCTGCGTGGTGGCTTGGATTAGGCCCAGAGGAGAGTGAGGGAGCAGATGGTCAGAAAGACTAGTACGGAGTTGGTCTCACCTAGAAAAATCCAGAGTGGGCCATCAATCTATGGATATCAGCCCTTGGAGACAGGCCTGGTCAAGAAACAGGCACCGTAAGGATTCCAGGAAGGCTCTTTCATGTAATCTGGTAGGAAAACAGAATCTTGAAAGCCTATCCAAGTTCTTCTCTGTCCCATCTTATACTGAACAAAATCAAGGCAGAGGGATTTTGAGTTTCTTTCTCACACTTCTTCTTTCTCAGGACCGTCTGATCTTTTCTGCAAGCCCCTACTTAATGGTTCTCTCCTTCCTTCCCCAAGATCAGTTCTATATTCCAATAGATCAGCATCCTTCCTTCATCTTAACAGCATCCTTTTTCTATTCCCAGGGCTAAAAAACATTCCTGTTTGCATATATCTAAACAGAGTATTGCATTCTCGTGAGGGGTTGAGTTGCTCTGAGCCAATGCAGGAAAATAAAATGGGGATGCGAATGAAATCCATCTCTCCTTATTCCATAACGGCAATTGTTTTCAGGGAGGGGAAATGCTTGAACGTTCTGGTTATCAGATTTTTTTTTCCCCCTGAACTCATCTGCAGTTCTCTTTGCTGGGTTATTTCAGTACTCACCCAGCCTGCAATCACTGATCATGCTGAGCCATAGTTTATTTAACAAACTATAATTGGCTGGCCTTGCACCACACAAGAAGCTGTGGACCATGGATTATGAAGCACTGAGGCTGGATTGAGGCAAGATGCAAAGCCCAGGCTGCTTTACAGTTTGTGTTGTGTGAATCCAGTCAAAAGTAGTCGGAGAAGGCTACCTTGTAGAATTGCTGGAAGGATTGCAAACAAGCAAGCAGAGAAACGAATATTCTCCAGAGACAGTATTTCCTTGGACATCAGGTGGGATATAAATGCAATTGCAAAAATTCAAGGCAGAAAAAGTGCTATTTGATCTTGGAAAAAATTGCTTGAAAAACATTTAAATACACATTTTATCAACAGATAAAGGAAAGAAACAGAGCTAACAGAGACATGCACAGAGTTGTGGGGTTTGGGGCATTGATACTGCAAGGTCCTTACCAGATTTTTATAGTTTCATGTGATGCCTCGATAAGATATTTCTCTCCCAAAAGAACATACAATATTAAATTTTTGAGAATGGTTGCCTTTCTCTGCATTGTATTTTCCCCTCTTCTTATTATACGTATATCACTATATTTTATATTGAATAGAAATCGTCGGGGTTAATTAGGAAGCTGTGAATTCAGCTTCTATCTTAGCCATCAAACTTAATGATCTGATGTTGGTTTGGATCACTATCTTTTAGCCAAACCTACTTTGCAGGATCGTGGTGAGATCAATCGAAGGAGGCTCGTGCAGGTATTTTCCCCTGCTTCTTTGAAGGAAAGGAAAAATAAAAACCTAGGAAAAATGGAGAAAACCTTTGAAATCATCTTAATATGACGACGTTTCCACAATCTCGGAAAGCAGAGAATAGCAACCAGGGCAGGTCATGTATTGTTGAATGAGAACTCCAAATATTCTTCCCCTTTGGCTGAGTGGGGAGTTTGAAATCCAATAGCAGGACGCAACTCTTACAAAACCCTCCAGTTGCATCCCTATTTTTGCAAGGCTTCTGGCCATCCTGCAAAAACGAGCCACTTCGTTGGCTTCGTGCGGGAAGGCCCTTCTGGTCTGCTTCGGGTAACACTGCATTTCTTGCGCCAGCCCTCGGCCCTCTCTCGCCAAACAAATGCACCACGAAGATGCTTCTTCCTTCTCTGGTGTGCTCCTCTGTTACTTCTAGCGGTTCTGCCAGCGGTTGGCATTTGGCGTGCAATGCCAGCAGGTGGCAGTGCTAGTCTAGGAGATTACCCCCCCCCCCTTTCTCTCCCCTTTGGAGGAAAATTTTTGGGTTCCTAGGATGGCAGAAGGAGTAATTATTATGCACTGCTATTCTTTTAAAAATTGCTGTCACTTTGCTTGGCAGCGCAAATTGTTACCTTTTGCGTGAGCCTTTGTTCCAACAAAGGAGGGGGGGGGAGGCTTTGAGTTACAAGAGCTACGGAGTTTTCTCCCCACCCTTTCTCTCTCGCTCTCTCACACAAACACACGCGCGCGCACACACTTCACTCCAGGACTGCAATAGACATTTTGCAGGTCGAGAGATGCAGAAAG